ACCCTCCAAGGCCAGATTCAGAGGCAGGACTGAGACCCCTAAAAAGAGAGGATTATCTTCTGAAGATCTCTGTGTCCATTATGGTAGCACCAAACACACAGCTACAGAGCACCTGATGTGCAGCTAGTGAAACTGAGGACCTGAATTTGAATTAATTGAATTAATTGAAAAGCTGAAGTGGTTGAACATATTAAATATTAAACACAGATCAGTTGTTAAGACTACATTTCACTTTGTTAAACACTTAGCTTCCAAATAGAGACGTGCTCTAAGTGTAAAATACACATGGGATTTTGAAGACTCTGTGAGAAAAGAAACATTAAATATCTCTTTAATAATTTTGTTTTCACTAATTGCATGCTACAGTGACATTGGGTTGAATAAAACATATTATAATTAATTCTGTTTCTGTATTTTCAATCCTGGGGATCAAACACAGGGCCTTGCACATGCTAGATAAGTGCTCTATCTCTTAGCTCTATCCCCAGCCTTTTAAAAAAAAATTAAATTTTGAGACAGGGTCTAACTAAGTTTCCAGCCTGCCCTTGAAATTTTGATCCTTCCTGCCTCAGCCTCCAGAGTAGCTGGGATTGCAGGTACACACAACAGCACCTGGCATGTTTTTTTATTTCTACTTTTTAATTTGGCTGTGAGAAAATTTAAAATTACATATGTGTTTCATTGTGTTTTTATTGAACAGTGCTTTTAAGATAATCCCAAGGATAGAAGAGTATTAGGCAACAAAGCCTAAGGCCTGCAGTCTGCGGATTAGGAAAGACTTAGAGCAGGAGGGGAAACAGAGGGTCAGCTTGGATGTGTTTGCTCCCCAGGCTCCAGCTGCCCCCTTTACCCCCTCACCCTTCCCTATGATGGCAGTCACCTGGGCAGGCAGTTCCCATCCTGTGAATGGGCTGGCCCCACCCAGGTCTCTGTGAGCATTAGTAGATCACACAGGCATGTCACCTGGCCCTGTGACTCTCAATGGGATTTCTTCTGATCCCCCTTTTGAAAACCTGGCTTTCTCTGTACCCTCAAAGACACAGAGGATAGGAAAACACTCAAACCATAAAGTGCCCTGTCAAAATAAGGAGTCCCTTTCCAGGACTACTTAGGCTCTGGCCCACTGTGTCCCCTACCCATGTCATCTAAACCTCTCACAGAACAATGGGCACAAGAGTAAAGGCTTCAATCCTCACTGGCCTGCAGGCAGTGAGCAGGGGCCCTGCCTTAGGCCAGCTGCTCCCTGGCCCCACCTAGCACCATCCACTCAGGGGCCTCCACCCACACCGAATGAAGTATCCACCAATCTCAGGAAGGGAGGAAAGCAGAGGGAGGGAAGAAAGCATAGGGGACATTTGCTCTCCATGGCTCACCTGGCCTCATCCTCGATTTCTTAAACTGTTTGTAGATGAGGCTCATCTTGTCCACACAACACTGAATCTGCTGGATGCTGTGGCAGGAGACAACAGGAAGAATCAAACAGCACAGAGCAAAGGTGAAGGAGAGGATGGCATGGGGGTTGGGTAGGGGAGAAGCTGTCTCCCTGCAGGAGGAGCCTCATTGCCCCAGTTCTGGGGGCCCAGTCTGGAAGCAGGGGTCACTGTTCTGTCTCTGAGATTATTTGAGAAATCTTAGAGCAAGCCAGCCATCTCCCATCCTCCTGTTCACCCCCACCCCACACTCCCTCACACACAAAAAATTAAGTAAGAGGTGAGAGAAGAAGTCAAACTGGTCAGGCAACAGGGAAGTGGCCCTTGCTCCACAGGAAGTCTTGAGAGTAGGCCTTGAGAGGCCCCAGGAACCCAAGAGAGTCTGCCAAAGACAGCTGGGACGGAGTGGAATAGAAATCGCTCCTGGCCACCTGCACAGGGCAGAAGGGCAAACTCTCTTGGTATACCGGAAGCTTGGCACATAGAAGAATTCTATGACAAATAATGAACCCGTGATCCTTGTTTAAAATAGGAATGGGAGCTGGGGTTGTAGACCCCAGTGGTAGAGCGCTTGACTAGCACATGTGAAGCACTGGGGTCCATCCTCAGCACCACATAAAAATAAATAAAATAAAGGTATTATGTTCATCTACAACTAAAAACAATTATTTAAAAAAAAAAAAAGGATCAGTGGTCAGCAGTCCGGCCAGGAGACAGGAGAGTCAGTAGTTGACCTTTCAAGGGTCTTCTTAGACTGGACAAAGCCCTGTGTTTGAGATGTCTGGGGTCCTTCCTCTCCCTCAGGCCTACTGGACTCTGCTTCTTTCCCAGAGCTCCTTTAGGTACCTCATTTTGGCTGTTTCTGGAGCTAGACTCTGGGCAGAACACTCACTTTTCCCTGCCCTTTTCAGAATGTGGGGGTGGAGGACAAGGTGGCCAGGGTGGGACCCCGAATCCATAGAGTTTATCCAAAAGACTCAGGGTCAAGTGTTTTCTGAAAGGTAATTCAGAGCAGTGCACATACAGGCACCACACAGGGGCCATGTCCCTAGTCAAATGTGCTCACATCTTCATAGAAACAGAAGGACATCTACCCTAAGTAGACTAGATAGACTGTGAAGAGCATTATGTCAGTTTAGGTCAACTTTTGTGGCCAAAACAGTTAAGAAGAACCCTGTGGTTTTTAGCGCTTTTGAATTTAGGATCAAGCATATGGGATAATGGATCTGTGGAGGCCCTCATTGCCACAGGTACCATGCTCCCCACAGGCACAATCTGCCCTGTTGTCAGACTGGGGCAAGGGGGCCCGCAGCTCCACACAGAGCAGACCTTGGGGTGGGTGGGCATTTGTGAAAAAGGAGAATGGATTTTTTAAAGGTTAAAATCCTGTCTGCTGTAGGTCAAGAACACAGACATTGGAATTGGACAGATCTGTCCTGAAGCCCTCTGTCACTGGTCACTAACTGGCCCCAGCTCAAGGCAAATTAACCTCACATAGTGAGCTTCCTCATCTATAAATGACCATTAGTATAGCGGTATTATTGTTTTTGGAGGATTCAATGAGATACCGAGTGTCAGGGCCTGACAGAAAGAGGGAAAGGAACCATACTTTTCCCAGAACTACAGAACCTGCGCAGCTTCCTGACTCTACTCTCAGGTAAGGGCAGGGAGCCGGACCCTCTTCTCCTATGGTCTTAGGAGTGGGTCTGGATCCCTCCTGTATTCCTACCCTAGCTCTAACAGTCTTGCCAACAGAAGAAGGGAGGAAGCCAGCTGACTTCCGGAAAGGACCCTGTGGGCTGGGCCCCTCCCTACCCCAACCCCACAAATGAGGAAAATCCCACAGACCTTCTGTCTTCATGTACCTGATCCCGGTTCTTCACCAGCGCTGAGTTGAGGTCCCTGAGGCTTTTCTGTGTCTCTGTGATATTCTGGGAACATCTGGAGAGAACCTCAGCCAGCTATGGGACAAAAAGGCAGACCCCCGGGGGTCCCTAGCTTGAGGCCTGCTGGGCAGCCCGCTAGAACACTGCCCACCCCCACCTCTACTCCTGTCTCCCAGCTCACTCACAGTCTGCAACCTGGACCTCAGATCTGCAACCTCCTTCAGCTCCTGGACCTCAGGTGTCTCCGCTGTGCTGTTCAACCTGGAGAGAAAGAAAGAGGGAGGCTGCACTTGAGGGCTTAGGAGCAGGGATCTCTGAGAACACATGCTGGCATGGCATCTTTGAGACAACCTTGATGGCTCTCAGGGTCTCTGGGAAGTTTGGCACAAGGAGCCAACTTGAGAGCTCTGTATACCATGGTTGTGACATTGTTGAGTTCTGCAAAGAATAAAGGTTGAGGTGCATTGGGACACCTTGAGTCTATGAAAATGTATGAGCC